TCCATCACATTTGTTCCACAGTCACCAGATCTCAGTCCACTAGAGCACCTTCGGGATGTGATGGATCAAGAGAGTCTCATTGTGGATGTGCAGCCGATAAATCTGCAATAACTGTCAGCTGCTGTCATGTCAAGTGCCACAAAGAAGCTCCAACCTGGCAAGGGTGTGCCTAATAAAGTGGCTGGTAAATGACATTTGCGGATGCACCTGCAGTCGTCAGGCAACTTGCACAAAAAAGGAACGATAAACAGCACAATTGTCACTTTTGCTGTTTCAGTATTGGTTCTTCATGCAGAAACAACCAAATGTTGATGATCTGTCATATTGAAAAATCACATCAGGGAAGCTGGATAGAAAGACAAATAGCTCTCTTTCCCAAAATAACTGGGAACTGTAGTTTTTACCAAAAAGGACTTCAAGTGCCTTTTACTTAATGAGTGCTTTAAAGAATATTTGCCACTATAAGGCTTTGGATAGCCGACAATAGGCTAAGTGTTTTCAATTTCTGTGCATTTTGGGATTAAAATTAAATTAGAGCTAAAAAAAAAACAAAGGATTTGCCATTACGTCAGCATTTGTTAAGAATTTAGTTTCTGTATTCAATCATCGTTTCTGGTGTCTCTGGTGTCTCCGGTGTCTCCAGTTTATTTTTAAAAATGTTTGCTGGTAACTTGCTTTGTTTTTCTTCCTCACCTTTGTTCTCCTTCCTTCATCATTATCCGTTTCACCCAGCCAGAGTAGTTTCACTTACACTTCTTTGCACTTTCCAGTCAGTCCTGTGTGTGTGCAATTTTGTTCCTCCGGCTCCTCCCTGTGAGTTTATCCTGTGCTCAGTTGTCTGCATGCCACAGGGACGAGTTTGTCCATTTAAAGCTCTCAATGAATTGATGATGGTTTAACTTATGAGGAGATGAGAAGGAATTATTGGTTAGATCAAAAGGTTAAATCCTTGCCAGATGGCTCCAAGTTTAATGCCATTTACGCACATCCTTAAAGGAAAGTAGTAAGGCCTTTTAAGGGAACTGAAGACTTCTTTATAGGATTATGACACCTCTTGTAAAAATAAACGCAGTAAGAATCATTAAAATAAAATTTAGACATTTAGGGTTTTTAAAAAAATATGATTAAATAAAGTATTGGACCTCCTTACAACTGTATAGTCTACAAGGTTAGGTGTCTGTGAAATATGAATCTGGGTATCCAAAAGAAAATCAGTGAGCCTGACGGTTTTTAACTCCCTGCATAACTCTGGAGAGTAAACTCTGTGAGTTTGATGTTTGCTGAAGGGGAAAACACTCTTAATAGTAAAGAAACATCTCAGTAGAGGTGGGCCCGGAGATGTACTGATAAAGCAGGCTGGTCTAGTTAAGCACAAAGATTAAAAATGTGCTGGAGGGGGTTTGGCAAGCAGAGAATCAACCCAGCGTGTAGGACTTGCAAACAGACAAAAACTTACAATGACAGCTTTTATTTTCTTAGCAAAAGGCAAAGAAAACAAAAGCAAACACAATAACAGAGCAGACCAGACCAACAGACAATGAGGGTGGACATGACAAAGATATATAAACACAGTAGGAGAGTAGGGCAGAATGGACACACCTTGGAGCACAGCTGAACAGATGCTAACTGACAAGACAGGGATAGTAAAAAGGAACAGCAACACCAGACAGGCACGGGACCTGACTGGGGAGACAGACGTCGAATCACAAAAAGAGATTAGACTAGAGAGTAAACAGACTGCAAAAAGTTTATATAATTCATGATCAGGGAAAATAACAACATACTAATATTACCAAGACTTAACATAAGATACTAACTCTAAATTACTGGACCCAGGACCATGAAAGAAAACAATAAGCTGCTACACAATAACAATGGACACAATCATTGTACATTTGCTAAAATACCCACCCATTGATTTCAGATAATACACAAACGTATTGCATTCGTACATTCACAACTAATATCATCGGTGTGTCTCAGTTTGCATAGTTCTGTTAGTTCACTTTGACTTGTGTGTGACAGAAAGATGATCTTTGGCACAGTGTTACTAGAGACAGGTCACTATATCCAACATCATATTCCTGCATTGGGAGCCTCATTGTCAGCATGCTGGACAGGCACAGAGGCCTCCTCATTACCAGTGTCAGTTAGAGTGTGTTGTTATTGTCACTGTAATGTTTAACGTGTGCAACTTAATATAGTGCAAAGATCTCAACAGTGCAAAGATCACTCACAGCGGTCATAAAAAAACCCCAAAGAAACTATAAGCTACATAAGATATAAAAACAGAAAAAAATTACAACAGCTATTCCCAACCCATTTGTGCACAGAGCAGATTCAAATAGATGCTGCTGTGTTTAATGCTCGTACATTGATGCCCCATTAAAGAAGATTCAAGTCATGTAAATAATAAGCTCTTTATGGAGGACAAAACAATCTCAGAGAGACTTGTTCTTCCTGAGGACCCCCAGGAAGTATAGTTTCTGCTATGTCTGCTGTGATGTTTACACTCCAGGTTAGATCCTCTTTGATGTAAAGTCCCTGAAACCAGAGGTCTGTGACCCTCTCCACAGTCCCCCGGTGATATTTAAAGGCTTATTGTCTTGTTTTTTTCTTCCTGAAGTCAGTGATCAGTTCTTTTTTCTTGGATGTATTCAGGAGCAAGTTGTTATCTCTGCATTGCTGACACATTTAAAGCCGTTTAAACATTTTGTAGCCTTCATTTTTTCATTCATCCATTCATTTTAAGAGATTTACTAACAGACAATAACAAATAAATGTCATTGACCTGACTTAGGAGGTGTGGAAATCCTGATTATCTGGTTGTACAGGTGGAATTGGTGACATTTTTCAGTCAGGTGTGTTTGTGACAAGTAGATGAATACTTTAGAGATGAGTCAGCGCAGGCAAGTGGAGACACAAAAAAAGCAGGATTTATTCCTGTCAGTTAATTATTTGTGCATCCTTATCTTCTTTGGGACTAAGACGTAAAGAGGGGAATCAAGGATATGCAGTCTATGAAATGAGAAAGGGCATGGAAATGACACACGGCAAAAAGGGCAAAGCAGTGGCAAGGCAACACTCAAGGCACAGGGACAGTTTGACAGTTAGTTCTGTCTTTAAAGGCATGACCTTAGATGCAAATGAACAAACCTGATTTGCAACTTTCATATGCAAAGATTTTCATTGTATAAACGTCTAATAAAACAAGACAAAAGCATCTGCACTAAGAAATTCTAGCAATGACAGTTTGGCACTTACAATATCTTGAAATAAACTCCATGCACATTTAAGCCTGTTTGTTTTTCAGTGGGCATTTTAGATGCAGGTGATTCGGTCCCAGGCTGCTCCAGTCTGCATGCCAAATGTTCTTGGGCAAGATACTAACCCCATGTTTCCCATGTTCTAGACCTGAAAACTTTGATCTTTGGTTTCATTCTATAATACTGACCTTATTTTTCTATGAAGGCTTGAACTTTGAGAGTTTTTAAAGAAGAAAGAAAAGTGTGAAAATGTTCATACCTGTCTGAGAAAAGTGTATAAAGTGTGTACTGTGGGGTTTTTCAGACTTACAACATCTATAATAATTGTAAAAAATAAAGCTGGCTACTTCGCGGATTTCACCTATCATGGGTTATTTGTGGGCCGGCAATAAGTCTGACTCAACCAGAAACGAGATCATGTCTGTCACCGATTCTGTTTGTAATTTTTGAGGACAGAATTTCAAGGCATAGCCAAGTGCTGGAAGGCTTTCAACACTTTCAGATTTGGCAGTGGAAGGCACTGCCAAATCTGAGGCCATGGTCCTCAGCTGGAAAAGGGTGGAGACCAAAATTGACCCGTGCCAGAATTTCTTTTGGCAGAGAAATTGTCCGATGTTCAAAATAACATTAGCAAATGCCATGAAGTGTTGAGTTTTTGTGATGACCTAAATTGTCTTTGTCCAACTACATTCCTGTTAAGAAAATGGATAATGATGACAGTACCCAAACTTGTTTTGTTAACTTGAAATATTTTATTAATTTAAAAATAATTTAAAATAATCATAGTCCAGTCAAATTAAAACCAGAGAATGATTTAAAAGACATTTAACCAAAACAAGCACAGGAGAAAAGCAATGCAAAATCTTTGAATAACAGAATTAAAAATGGAAAGAATACACCTTTACACATACACCTTACCCCCTCACACTGTTAAATTCTTATTTTTAAAGAATACGTTTGCTTTCTTACCCTATTCTAGAATAAGCTAGAGTATACTACAGTGAGGAGAAACCTAGCTAAGCATATAGCCTGCAAAAAGAGGAAAGTGACAGAATCCAGCTAGCTTCACCTCCAAACCTTAGTAAGAAACCATCAAACTTCAGTTTTATTTAAGGCATTGCCCTTATGTTTGAAGCAGGGCAGCAGGGGATATCAGCGGCATAAACAACAGATGAGTGATAACTGTGACATGTTTTTGAGTGAAGAGGTGATAGAGGACTTAATTTCTTTTTCACATCACCCTTGTAATTATTTGGATTTTTGCATGACTTCTTTCCAGGACTTGGAGGCACTATCTGCCAGTTTCAAAAAAGAAAAACATAACAGTGACTCCATCTGTAGATTTGTGATTACAGAGAGATCTTACACGGCAGCTTCAGAGTTGACCACAAACATTGCTTTCTAGTACAGTCCTCCAGTGTCCTTGTAGTAAATGTGACAGTTCAGTGCAGCCTTGCTAGTGCTAGCTTAACGCGTTATGCTTACATTTGGTGCTTTACTTTGTGTGATGGAATTCAACCCTAACCTAAATTAACATCTGATTTAACGTATGAAATTCAAAGCGTTGTCAAAATTTCTTCTTTTATTCCATGTGCAAGAATCCTATTCATAGTGTGTGTGTGTGTGCGTGCGCGTGTGTGGGGAGGGGGGACAAAAACCTTCACTGCATGAGGTCCGTGTGCTTTTCTTTGCTTTAACCCAGCTACTGCCAAGTTGGATTTGAATGCCAGGGAATATTTTTGACCAGGTTTATTAAATCAACCGAAAAAACCTTCTATTAGTGTTAAAAATGACCACAATTTTGAGAACCTAAGAGGTCAAGTACATTGCTTAGCCATAGTGAAAAAAAATGACATTTTTGGTGCAACAAGTTTGTTGTTTGGACCTTTAGTGGGAACAGTTTCCTTGTAGTTTATTTTTTAAAACAAAAGTGTTTTATAATGTGTTAATGTGTTTTGTGTTTATGTACAGACCACATGACTTTTTTCATGTCCTGATATACAAAACCTTAGATTGAAAGAGGGTGGGCTACTGTAAATCTGGCCTCAATATTTCTAACATGCATGTGCATCGTTTTGTTTTATTACTCTCAACCTTTTCCATGTAGACTTCTTTTAAGATTAGAAGTTGTGGCGGTCGATGCGGTCGTGATCCCTCTGAGATTTTGCCATTTGCTTCTGCAGCAGAATGTGCTCGGTGAAATCCCTCACAGCTCCCGATCCCCCAGCACAATGGCAAATGTACTTTGCAGCCTTTTTAGCCACAGCTGGAGCATCGCCCGGTACTGCACTCAGCCCTGCCAGGTTCAGGCATTTCACATCTGCTTGATCAAAACCTGAGAGGGGAACAGAAGATCATTAGTCCCTATAATAATTTACTTAAACAAGCTGCAGAGATTGGCTGCACAAACACAAACAGTCAGACATCTTTAATTGTTAATTTGTTGCCAGACACTATTCAGATTTTATTAAAACAGCACTTTAACATAAATGTTAAATACACCACCTTTTAAAGCAGTAGCCTCAACATGTTTCCAATTCCTGCCAATTAAACTGTTAACAAATAAAAATACAGTTTTACCCATGAACGCCACATCCTTCCATTCCAGCTTCTTCTTCTCAACGATTGATTGCAAATCATTCAGCGGCTCCTTTCCCACCTTCTCGACCTTGCACATCATCCTATCTTCAAGTTTTTGAAGCGAAGCTGGGTCAATGGGGTCTTTCTCTGTGGTCAACAGTATGACCTGGTGAAGCGAGACAGAGTGCAGTTTTGTGAGCGACGTTCCACAAGATGGGCCAGTTTACGTAATTCTGTTCAGACAGCCGAAAAAATCCAACCTCAACTTGTTCTTCCTGCAGCATCCGAAGCCCATTTGTGTCTCTGGGGTTGACAGACACCATTGCCTCTCCCGACACAGACATAAAGATCTTTCCATCAGTTAAACAGCCGGAAATGTTGCAGAACATTAGGCGGACCACCTCTGGTGTGTCCTTACCGAAGTAACCGTACCTGATTGGAGAAACACAGGCTGGATCAGGAAAGGGAATGGATAGTTGATTAAAAGCTGACTGGTAGACATTATTTTCAGCGCTTCTCACCTGAGAACCCTCTGTTCTGCCACAGGCCAGTCGATGTCCACGTCTATATCTACGCTGTACTCCGGCAGCATCTCATAGTAGGTTAACTTACCGCCCTACAGAGGTGAAAACACAAGCATGACTTAGATGTATTGTTACACAAAGGGTTTGGAAAAGCCGTGGAGCTGTCACAGTCCAATTTGGTCCTTTGGTTTATTACAGATTTTTTTTCCCTTGTTGGGTACCAGCCAGATCTCTGTCCTTATGTTTTGGGTTTTGTTTTGTTTTTTGCCAGATTCTTCTCCTAAATACATCCAACTACACAACAATTAAAAAGAGAAATACGTAAGACTCTGAGTATCAAATGAAATTGAACCCAATATCAGTTTGTTACAGCCCTAGCAGGGCCTCCTCCTGAAGGTGCCTGTGTGGGCGTGTCCCACTACCTCTTCTGCCTGAGGTGCCACCTTTCCCTTTTACACAGCTGACTCCCGTCAGTAATCAGGGAGATTTAAGCCCAGGGAAAGGTGAGCTCTGGGCCAGAGTGCGGTTAAAGCTAGTGAGCTGAGTGTTTGTAGCTAGTGAGCTGAGTGTTTGTAGCTAGTGAGCTGAGTGTTTGTAGCTAGTGAGCTGAGTGTTTGTAGCTAGTGAGCTGAGTGTTTGTAGCTAGTGAGCTGTGTTAGTGTTTTTGGTGGTTTTCAGCTAGTGAGCTGCTCTTTCTTTTTGGCTTACGTTTTACTTTATTGACCACGCCTGAGTTTTGTTTGTTTTCTTAAACAGTGATTTGTCCGTCTCTTTTAGTCGAGTTTGAAAGGGAACTTTAATAAAACTCTTTGATTTAACCCTTTTGCCTCCTTGACTCCTTTTTCTAACCCGGTCACTTTTTGTTACTCCCCCCTCATCGCCTAGACCCCTCAGGGGAACGTAACACAGTTTCAGTAAGAATCCCACAAAAATAGAACACAACTAACTAAACTTTCAACACAGGAAATCCAGCTCAGAAAGTCTGTTTTTCTTTACTTCCTCCCACAGTTAAGTTAAGCTTCTTATTCAATGACACTTTTTCCCTATAAAAATAACATTGTTCCTGTTTTAAGCAGACTTTTTTTCCTGCAGTCCAAGAACTCCTTTTCATAATAAAGAGTTTGGAGATTTCAAAAGCTTGCAGACAGCATGCTCAGATATTTTTCCAGCAAAAGGGATTGAACAATTTCTTTGACAACGTAGCTGATGAAATCTGATCCATTTGTCATCAATCTCATCTGCTGCTGTCTTATAGGTGTGTGTTTAATGTTGGTGCCAACCAGGAATAAAAAAAGGCACGATTTAACTGTTGGGCATTGGGGCTGTTTTTTCAGTCATTATAAAGTCATTATAGTAATTTTAAACCATATATGCACCACCACCATCATCACCACCACCTTCACCTGCAAGTGTCCTTCCTTTTCAATGATCTCTTTTTTGGCGAAGTAAAATGAGCCATTCTCACACAGCTCCCCTGGCCAGTCCTGACGCCGCGGCCGTTTGGCTGGCTCCAGATTGAATGGCACTGTTTTCTCACCAGCTAGAAGGAAATAGGATCCCTTAATAACAATGCAAACTCCTCTTTCCATCAAGTAGTTATTTACACAGAGAAGCTGTCTGCTTCTTGACATAGTAACCAGTGTGTGAGTGAACTGAGTTTTTAAAAAGACATTTAAGGGAAATTCATGCCATCATAGTAGGTGGGTGACCAAATCTGTGAGAAATGTGTTAAATTCTGTAGCTTTGTTTGTTTGTATATCTTTTATCAAATACATGTTAAGAGTTGATCTGTTCATAAAACTAATGAAAAAAGGAAACACGAGTGTGCACGATGAAGGATGAAAACTAAATTCCAGTAAAAGGAACAACAGTCACAATCTATACCTCCAACAACCAGTTTATGAGTTAACCTTTAAACTGGTTGTAAACCTGGAGCTAGGTGTGTAATCAAGTGCACTGACAGGTTGTGTGCATGTGGGTAATTACAAACACAACTCAGAAATACATGCATGTGCCAAAGTGAAATGACTTTATGCCAAGTAAAACAGGATGCATGGTTCAAAATGTCTTATTGGTGATAAGTAAGCAAGTGAAAAGGAATTAACAGCTAAATTAGGACTTAAAGTTTGATTTTATGATTCACCGCATCAGGATATATTAGCACTCTGTATGGTGACAGTAGGAACTTAAGAGTCTTTTAGTTCTTGTCTGAGGAGATTCACTGTTGCTGCAAAAAACCCTTCACTTCTGAGAGATTCTGGGTCTTTCATGCCTCTTTTAAAATACAAAAGTGTGGGACTAGTCAGCTAGATTTTTAAATGTTAGCTGTTATTAGTTTTGTTTTATTAATGTACAGCAGCAGTTTGATGTTCAAAGTGACAATGCCACCAGCCACTACCTGGAGCTGCGCACCTGACAGATGGCTGCACTCCTCTTTGGCACTCTGTGTGAATGCAAGATATAATTGAAGAAAAGTGGAAAATGAACTAGTGACAGCCGTGATAACCGGCAATGTTTTGGATTATTATTAGTATAACTATGGAGAGTGAACAAGATTGAAAAGATCAGTGTCTTGTTATGTTATTTGTTTAAGCTATCAACATACTGGGAAATGATGCAAGTACCTGACTTTTGTTTTGTTACATGAATCTGCTGCATCTGATTTAGGTTGGTAAGAAATGTCAGGCACAGTGTGCAGTGACTTAATTATTGGTACCTCTTTTAACTCAGCCAAAAAGTGGTAGGGCACATATAATCACAGAGCAGGGTCAGCAGATACTGAGGCACTATGTGAGGAGTGAATTAGAGAGAAGATTGTGAGGCAGGTCTTCTCATCATACATCACTGTCTGACCTCGCAAATGTGCCCCAGGAAGAATCATAAAAAAAAATTTCCCATATAACTTCTAAATTTTGTGGAAAGCCTTCCCAGAAGAGTTGAAGCCATTATAGTTGCAAAACGTCAGCGGAGATCATATTAAACCCTATGGATTAAGAATGGGACGTTCATATGCATGTAAGGTTAGACAAGCAAATACTTTTGGCAGTATATTGTATTTTGTAAACACTCTCTGCAGGGAGACTAGTAATCCATGAATGCCTAACAACTGCATCTGTGCTTCCCCCGGGTGGAAAACAAGCACAAGTGTGAGTAAGTATCAAACTTGAAAGCTGCTTGCATGCAGATCAATAATTATCAGATGAAGGGAGCTGATAAGCTTGGAAATTTTGGACTGTAATAGCTCAAATAACCAGTTCTCAACTTGGAACCAGTTCTCCAATCCCATTTTTAGAAACACCAAGCAGTTAAAAATCAAGCATAAAAAAAAGAAAGACTGTCACTGTAAGGATTCATTGTTTGTCCAGTGAAGCATCTGTTGGATTTTGTTTATCGCAGTTAATAATTACTAAGGTACAGGTGCAAAGATCGTCTATTTAATGGCTGCTCCTCCCTGTCATTTGAATCCTTTAACATACCAGCAAGAAATCTGACCTTTTTGTGAAAATTGAGAAAGTGAGTGTAAAAAAACAACACACAGGTCTATTTGGAAGAGAAGACAAACAAGATGAACAGGATAACCACAACCTCTAAAAATAGTTTAAATACTTTCCTTTAGGCAGCTGAAATATAAGAAGCACTCCAAGAGCACAAACCTCATTCATTACATTAATTTTATGTTCTTTGTTGTTTTTAAATGCATTTTAAGAGGTTTGTAGTGCAATAAGAATCAGATAAGGGGGGCATTGATATGTTTAGCTATACAAACATGTAGGAGCACGTAATGGATAATAGATGAATAACTTGAGCTTATTATATAAAAATATACTACAGTATATTTCTAACTAACTAGGCAGCTCATTCTCTTTCTCTTCATAATACTTTCTGTAAGACAGTAACACATTTTGTAAAAGGTAAACGTGAGATCAGACGTCAAATGTGCAGACTTGCTCACTTACATCTTTCTTTAACCTCCTTCCAGCGAAACTGGTGTCTCCTGACCACTGCGAAGACTGAATCATAACCGTGCACCGTGATTTTCTCCAAGGCCTCCTTCACATGGAACGGGTGGAGACAGGGTGATGTAGCCTGGAAGTGGCAAACTATATCCACCTCTGTGAAAACAAAAGCAGGAGTAATCTGCGCTGTGTGGCAGCAGGGCAACGCTTTGAGACCATCTTAGAAACACGTTCCTACCTTTATGGTGCTCAAGAAACTCTTGGATGGTTTCTACTGATGAGGAAAAGTCTCTGGAGACTTTAGGACTCCTCCGGTGCACCTGAGCACCCCATGCCTTTGCAACTTCCTCAATTTTATCATGGTCCGTTGATACCCACACACTGTGAAAGTGAAGGTGCATAATCATTATTATTAATTGTAACAGTCTCTTTTCATAACACTACTAGACATTCTGTATTTTGTCCTCATAGCCAAAGATATAGTGATTAGAGATCGTCCAATGTAAGCGATTAAGAAAAACAATACTCTGATATATCGCCCGATATTTTTGTTTTTGGATATACAAAACAGTTAATTTCTCTACCAACTGTCATGAGTTATTTTTTTAATTGTTTGTTTACTCCCGTTTTTGTTAGGCTCAGTGTGTTGAAGTTGTGGTGTTGCAAGAGGGAAGTTGGAACTTTGAACAGTCAACACTCGTAATATAGTTGAAGGGTGTTTCTTCCGTCTCTTTTTTGCTTATTTAATTTTTATCTCGACATTTTTATATCAATATCGACTTTTGGTCTATGGATGTGATCCATTATAATTACGGAGATTAGACTGAGACTCAGTCTCTTCACATTTTATTTTACTTAACACATGAAAGCTCACTGAACAAATTGGGGGTGGATCAGGAAATTTGCAAAATCAAATCTGTGTATCCACCTGTTGGGGCGGCTTAAGAGGGATTCTGGGCTTAATATTAATAAATGTGTCCAGTATAATTGTCGACAATGACACAGCCAGCTGTGATAATGATGGCAGAGAACTCTCACCTTATCAGAAAACAAGACATGACCCGCAAAAAGCTAACAAAACAAAATGAGAATTTGTGTCTGTAATCAACCACACGCACACAACCTGCCAGCCTCTTGGTGACACATGTACCTCCAAGCTTATCGGTAAACGAACAAACCAGTTGTAGGAAGACTAAATAACTGATAATTGCTATTCTTTTTGCTGGAATATAAATTATGCCCTAGCTCAGTGCGCATGCTCCATTTTTTTTATGAACGAATCTGATGTACGATAAAAACAAACAAACAAACAAACAAACAAACAAACAAACAAACAAACAAATCTGCACTTATAGTAAGCAGATTTTTTTGATGAATGATCTCATGTTGGTTAAACGATGGCTGCAGCGGCACTAAACTGTTAACGGATAATTAAACTGAGCTCACAGTGCAATAACTCATTGGCAGTTTGGACGTTTTAGGGTTTTGTTGCATAATTGTATGAATTGCTGTAACTTACAGTTTAAGTGTATGAGTAGTTATGTTTCAGCTGAGGGTGACTTTAATGGGAAGAGACAAATTCCAGATCGTAATAGTGTTTGTAACGTCAAAATAAGTTTGACAAAAATGTTAGAAAATGTTTCTCATAATGTGCAGGTTATGTCTGTGGAGTCACGCCGATGAAAAAAAAGAAGTGGAATATAGTAGATAAATGCGAGCAGTTTTCTTCCTTTGTGACTTTAAACTTTGTAAACATCCTAAAAGGACGCGTGGGACTCCTCCACGTCACACTGAAAGCTGAACACGCAGCTGCTCAGCAGCTGCGTAGCGATCAGGGAGCAAACTGATGCATTTTATATTCCCTGACTTTACTGATGTGCAAAATACTTTAGGCCGTTATGACATGTGGACAGAAGTAGGTTAATATAATATAATCAACTCTGATTTGATGTTTTCATAACGAAAAGACATTAAAGTTGGCTGCTGGTGCTCGTTCATCTGACCCTACAATAAAAGCTCTTGTCCTTCCTCACCTGTCAAACATTCCCGAGTCCACGGCGGCCCTCAGCACCCACCCGATGAGCGGGACCCCGGCCAGCATCTTGATGTTTTTCAGCGGGATCCCTTTGCTCCCACCTCGAGCTAAAATTAAAGCTGCTATGTGACTCTTGTCATTCCGCGGCATCTTGCTCGATGACTGACATTCGTCTAACGAGGTCTCATTGTTTCTCCGTGTAGCAGATGCCATAACGACGTCAAAGATCTACTCCTACTACGAAGCAAGGTCTGGGTTTATCCGGGTGACTTCCGTGGCCTATGAAGGTGGCTCACTTATTACCGACATAAATCGCTATGATAACCTGTGCAGTAGATCTACCTGCTCCGGAGCAGGTTAAGTAAAATATCAGAGAGCAACAGGTGTGAAAGCACCGCCCACCGACCAATCAGGTCTCCGGAACACAGCGTCATCATTAATGAAAGATTCCTCAGCCCTCTTCAGGGAGAGGAGGCGGATTTATAGTTTGTTCTATGCGCCTTATTATATGAGCTGAACCAGGACATACGCACTGTACCGACCTGTGTGTGTATTAATGTGGTGATTTGGAAAATGTATTAAATGTTATTCTCCTCGCTTACATTTTGCTGTACCTGCAGCTGTTTGAACAGCGAACACACACCAGGAACACCTGTTCAATCAGTAACATTAACTGACAGACAGACTGAAGCGATACCTCTTTTTCCTAACTGGAATAAGAGGTTAAAAGAAGGGTAGGGGAACTGCAGTCAGGAAATGAAAAGAGCTGTCCGCTGTTTGAAACTACAATTTGAATTTGGACAACACTCCTAATTCAACAGGCAAAGGATAAAGCCTGTAAACTCCCCCCCTTTGAGTAAAGCAACTGTAAGTTTAATTTAGAGTCAAATTAATGTATAAAACTATTATGGTGTCTTACCATTACTGTAATGTCTTAAGTTTTTTGCAGTGTTTGTATCAGTCTTGTTTTATTATTATTTAAACATTGTTGTAGTTGTGTTTAATAAATGTGCGTTTTCAGTTCCAGCCTTAACTTCAGGTGTTTTTGTACATTATTCTCATATTAACAAGTTTCTCTGATCTTTTTTGACACAATTCACACACATTATTTCTGATTAATTATTACTTTGAGCTGATTTTAATAGCAGTTGATTTAAAAAATCCATCCACATTCAGTCTCGTTGACTTCCCATCTCTCAGCACAGATGATCACACACTTAAAGTTCAGAGGTGAAAGAAATATTTCTGCTTCGTTTGAAGTTTGACTGCAGGTTAGAGTTAGTCCAGCAGGTGGTGCTGCTGGATGAAACCAAACAAACTGATTCACAATGATGGCTGATGCATTTTTTCCAACCCTCCGTGTGCAGATTATTTTCACTTGACTGTTGACTTCTTAATTTGTTCCATCTAATCACTGAATAAAAACGTATTTAACCCAGTGGAGAAAACATGAAATAAATGTCATTTGATCAGCTCAAACACTTCAGTGAAACTTCTTCATGGGAAACTGGTTCATTCCAGGTTTTTTTGTTAGAAAAGACAAGAAAACCCCCCCATCAATACATTTAATCTGTTTTATTAATGATACATTATTCAGGAGATCAAACTAAATGTGAGACCACAGCTTCAAGACACATTAAACCAATAAGTCTGTCAGATTATGTACAAAGTAGAATTCAAAATTCAAATTCCCCCAATCATTACAAGTAGGCTAATAATCAGTGTTGATTAACATGTCTCTATTCAGCAAACGAACAAAAACAATGTTATTGAAGATTATATTTCACATAAAAAAATTAAAAAAGAGACTTATAAAGACAGTTATGCTATGCTGTGGTTATGTTCTTCTGTCTTTATGATAATTTGTCCTTAAGTTACTGCTAAATGATCACAAAAACTCATCTGTCCCAAAGAAACTGATTGTTTCTTTCAGCTTCATGTCCTTCTTCTTTGGGTAACATATTGTAGCGGGTCAGGGCTGTTTGGGGTCATGACAGCTATGTTCTGTTGTTCCAGGCGGCAGCGTTATGTTGCCATGGTTACAGGTAGCGCGCTCTCTCTCTCTGCGACTGTGTGTTTCTGGGTGGAGAGAACGCCTTTTTGATGTTGTGTGCTGTTTCTGGTCCCTGGCTAACTCGCGGGAAGCAAGACCAAAGGACACCCCTGTCTCCTCCTTGTATAAGCTCGCCACAATATACTCTGTTTCTCTTTCTAACACATACTGAAAAAAGGTTCACACTATTACTGTTATTATTTTTCATTTAATTCCTTGTTTACCAGCTGATGATACATTGGGGCAAAAAAGTATTTGGGAGACACAGATTGCTGTCCCACTTAAAAAGGTGAGAGAGGCCTGTAATTTTCTGCATAGGTTCACTTCAACTGTGAGAGACAGAATGTAAAAAAGAAACCCAGGATATCACATTTTATGATTTTTAAATAATTTATTTGTATAATGGTGCAGAAAATAAGTATTTAGCACCCACAAACAAGCGAGAATTCTCTCCCTCACAGACCTGTTACTTCTTCTTTAAGAAGCTCTTCTATCCTCCACTCGTTATCAGTAAGACACATCTCCACACCTTCAAACAGTCAGACTCCAACATCCACTATTGCCAAGACCAGAGAGCTGTCTAAGGCCACAGGGACAAAACCCGCGAGAATGTTATGTGGTATAAATGCCACTTGCCATGTTTGGAGTGGGAAGAATGCTGAGTTGCATCCCAAGAACACCATACCCACTGTGAAGTATGGGGGTGGAAAAATCATGCTTTGGGGCTGTTTTTCTGCAAAGGGGACAGGCCAATGAAGGAGTGGCTTTTAAAAAGCATTTCAAGGTTCTGGAGTAGCCTAGCCAGTCTCCAGACTTCAATCCAATAGAGAATCTGTGGAGGGAGTTGAAAGTCTGTGTTGCCCAGCGACAGTCCCAAAACATCACTGCTCTAGAGGAGATCTGCATGGAGGAATGGTCCAAAATACCAGCAACAGTGTGTGAAAACCTTGTGAAGACTACAGAAAACGTTTGAACGCTGTCATTGCCAACAAAGGGCATATAACAAAGTATTCAGATCAACTTTTGTTATTGACCAAATACTTATTTTCCAAATAAATTCTTTAAAAAGACAATGTGATTTTTTGGGGGTTTTTTTTCTCATTTTGTTCTTTACAGTTGAGGTATACTTATGATGAAAATTACAGGCCTCTCTCATCTTTTTAAGTTGGAGAACTTGCACAATCGGTGGCTGCCAAATACTTTTTTGCCCCACTCTAAATGTTGACTTCCACTGAGTATTACTGTGTAACACAATCCCCCAATTTCAATTTAAAAATTGTTTTTAATGCAAAATCCACTGCAGCTCTTGATGCAAATCCAGCCGACCCTGCAGCTCCTATACCTTTCACTCCTTGAGCAAAATATCCAACACCAACTCCAACACTAACTGCAGCACCAACAGCAGTAGCAACTCCAGCACTAACTTTTGCAGCAGTTCCACCAATAATGGCATCCCATTTCCCCTGAGTAACCTCGTTCCTTCTTTCAGCTTTGTATCTTGCTTCTTTGGCCGTCATCTCTGGCTTTTCTTTCTGAAGTCGTTCCATCTCTGTTTTTATGGCTTTCTCTGCCTCTTCAAACATATTGGTGGTGTAGCATCCTCCTTTTCTTTCAGTCAGATTGTTGATTTCCTTCAGCACCTCAGAGGGATTCTTGTTTCTGCTGTTAAAAACATGATATCCTCCACGGCACTGACTGATAAAGTCTTTGAGATCTGGATGTTTGATTGCTTCTTCTATGGTGTCTTTATTCTCATCATCTTCATGGATTACCAAGGCCATTGTGTAATCAGCTGGTTGTTCACCAAATATCTTCTGAATGATTTTCACAGTTTTTTGTTCTTCTTTGGTGAATCTGTTTAGTTGGATCACAACCAGGAACACATGAGGACCAGGAGCAGCAAAGGAGATGCATCTAAAAATCTCACTCTTCACCTCCTCTTCAGTTAGTTTAGTTTTGTATAGACCTGGACTATCAATTATAGCCACTGTTTGACCTTCAAACAGACATGTTTCCTTCTGACACTCTGATGTTTCAGAGGAAGAAAAGTCTGTTGATCTAAATACTTTTCCCCTTAAGATGATGTTTCCTGCTGCACTCTTCCCAACTCTGGTTTTCCCAACAAGAACAATCCTGAGGTCGGCTTCTGGTTTTTTCATGGCTCTCTGAGCTTTTCTGAACATTTCAATAGTGTAGCATCCTCCTCTATTTCTCGCAATCATTGTGTTGATCTTCTCCAGCAGCTCTCTGACCTGAGAGGGATTCTTGTTTCTGTTGTTAAAGACATGATATCCTCCACCGCACTGACTGATGAAGTCAGAGAGAGTTTCATGATCATGGATCAAGTTTTTTATGGTGACTTCATCTCTCTCAAGATTGTCTCCACAGGTGAACAAGACCATAGTGTAACGTGCTGACTGTTCTCCAAACATGTTCTGGATGATTTTGACAGTTTTTTGTTCTTCTTCTGTGAATCTGTTGGCCTGAATTACAACCAGGAACACATGAGGACCAGGAGCAGCAAGGCAGATGCAGCGACTGATCTCTTCCTTCACCTCCTCTTCAGTTTTTCTGGTGTCAAATAAACCTGGAGTATCAATTACAGCCAGTTTTTGACCATCAAACAGACCTGGTTTCTTCTGACACTTTGACGTTACTACAGAAAAACCTGCTGAGGATTTAAAAGCTTTTTCTCCTAAGATGGTGCTTCCTGATGCACTCTTACCAACTCCAGTTTTCCCAACAAGAACAATCCTGAGGTAAGCATCTCTGAACATTTCAACTGTGAAGAATCTTCCTGCATTTCTCTGAACCATGATGTTGACTTTCTCCAGCAGCTCTCTGACCTGAGAGGGATCCGTGTCTCTGTTGTTAAAGACATGGTATCCTCCACCACACTGACTGATGAAGCCACTGAGAGCTGGATTTTTACTGATTAATTTTTTTATGGTGTCTCCATCTAACTTCAGGTCATCTCCATGGGTGAACAAGACTAATGTGGAACAAGCTGACCTTTTTCCAAACATGTTCTGAACAATTTTCACTGTTTCTTGATCTTCTTTTGTGAATCTGTTGGCCTGAATCACAACCAGGAACACATTAGGACCAGGAGCAGCAAAGCAGATGGCTCTCTCCATCTCTGCTGTCAACTCATCTTCAGGCTTACGGGTGTCAAACAGACCTGGAGTATCAACTACAGCCAGCTTTTGACCTTCAAACTTTCCTCTTTCCTTCTGACACTCTAATGATATCACTTCGAAAGCATTCTCCTTTCCTAGGATGGTGTTTCCTGATACACTCTTTCCAACTCCAGTTTTTCCAAGAAGCAAAATCCTGAGCTCTGGCTTCTCTGGTTCTTCTTGTTTTGCTGAAGAGTAATAAACATTTTAAAGGTAAAATTTAAAGTTAATATATTTACAATTCAAACTCTGAAGACAAACAATGTGTATTTTCTATTATGTCAAGTGTGTCTCTGGACTGTTGGAGGAAGAAAACGCATGCGAACTCCAGGAAAAAAATAAAAAGGTCACAGAAGGATTTGAACCAGTAACCTTCTTACTGTGTCAATTATTATAGATCATGATGTCAAGACACCATCTCTCCCTCACCCTTCAACCTCTATATGACTTCCTCTTCATGTGCGCCATATATGATGATACCTACAGTATAGTAATATTTAACTGTTTAGAGACTCCAAACCAGTAGGTGCCTACTTGGATCAAACGAGGAAATAAAGTCTTGGTAGATTTGGTAAGTGGACCATTAATCTGAAGCGGGGTAAAGAATCATGTTTATTAGTGAACAGAACAAATGTTGAAGGAGACTGACAAGAAAACACCTTCCTTCTTTTGTTCCTCTGTAGTTTTGTAGAAAAACTGTTCAAATCTTTTTTTTTCCCACTTCTCGTGTCATCAAGAAACTCCAGATGACATTAATTGAAAAACAATTCTGTTCCTACGTTCTTTCTGACTCTAAGCTTTAATAAAAGAAAATAACTTTTCAGTCAAACTTTTCTTTTAACTTTTGAGAGTTGATGTTCATGTTGGGCATTTCATGAACCAGCTTTTGGATTTGTAGACTAAAATTCTGATTTGAATCACAGTGTACAAAGTACCATTAAAAGTAGTAATAACAAAGAGAAATTGTTAAAGGGATAGATCAAACAAGGACATAAATTAAAATAATGACTAGGATCTGATACATGTTTGGTTTAATAAGTGGCTGTTGACTTTTATTTGCCTTTATATAAAATTAATGTTATAGATTAGTATTTTTAAATGTGCTCACCAGGACTAGTGTGTTTGCTGGCCATGTCTGTCTTTTATTGGCAATTGATGTGTGATTTTCTGGCTCTGCTGATGTTCTGCTGCTCAGCAGTTTCCTCTTTATCGCTCTGCAGTGTTGGAACGTGTGGAAACGTGTCTGAGAAGTGGGGCAGAAAGGTGAGAAGGACACAGGAACAGCTAGTTGTTAGTTACATGTGATTCAAGTTGAATTACTTTTGTATGAAAGAAGAGTTCATATTTTGTGTTTGGTGTATTGAAGAAAAAAGGAGAGCTAATCTCAAATCCTAGTTTTTGGCCTATGTAATTGTGGAGATCTGAGTATTGACAGTTAATCACAGACTCCGTATTTAATATTGATGTTTCTATTGCTTTCACAAACCTGCATGAAGACCCTGTCTGGGACATTAACTTTGTGACTCAAACTAGGAGTACAGTGGCTTGTGCCACCCTGAATGGAAATCGGCATTATATATGCCAGCTGAGGGTTTAAATTCTTATTTTCCATGTCATCTTATTTCTGTTTGGCTTTTGAATATCCATCCATCCATTTGCTACTGCTTATCCTTTTCAGGGTCACTGGAGCCTATCCCAGGTGTTTTAGGGCGAGAGGCACGGTACACCATGGAGAGGTCGCCAGTCTGTTGCAGGGCTGACACATAGACAGAGACAACCAAGCACACTCACATTCACACCTATGGGCAATTTAGTGTTTCCAATTAACCTAACCCCTCTAACTGCATGGAGAACCCACACAAATACGGGGAGAACATGCAAACTCAGGACCTTCTTGCTGTGAGGCAACAGTGCTAACCACCATGCTGCCCACGGTGGCTTTTTAATAAATCAAAGAAAGAGAATATCAAGGGTATGATATCTGACCAGGCATCTAGGGCAACGCCCAGAAGCTAGGCAAATACTTTCTCTGTAACATATCACACAGCCAAATCTAGCCTCAAGTCTGTACAACTGAAGAGCATAGCATGTTACATAATGTTACGTTACATATGGCCTAAAATTCATATCTCGATATTATTTAGCTGGATGGTGATACATGATATATATCTCAAGCTTTTTTTTTAAAGCCATAAAGTAAGAACAAAAAGAGAGTTCTTAGTCAAAGCTGTGTCCCAGATCTCACACAGGCACTTTTATTAACATCCAGCGTAGATGTACATGAAAAAAACAACTCAGAAATAAATTATCAGCATTTATTAAATAGTAATGCTCCATAAATAAAATAAAACAATGTTGTTTTTGTGCATAAAAAAAGCTCACAATTGTGCAGTCAAAATGTAGCGTTAACGTCATTTTAACGAGCTTAACGCTACCAGCACTAAAATAGTAATTTCCAGATGTTTTCTTTTAACCGACCAGCTCCTCTTTGATAGCTGCCGTGTCCATCTTGTTGTTGCCTGCAGGTGAAGCGATGGGGGAGGGGGACTTGTGTTCAGTGAAGGAGAGAGGCAAGGCAGAGTAACATTGCGTAGAGACAAAAGTGGACGAAAGAGAGGAAAACTTTCAGCTCCACGAGTATAATTATAACGTGACAGAACAGAGGGCGACACAAACAGCACACAGGAGGAGATCAGGTCAGAGTGGACACACATGGGGAGCACAGAACCTGGAGGAATCAGGGTGAAGCAAAACTGAATATAAAACACACAAGATGGGAGACTAGCAAAATAAAAAAGGAAGTACACACACACAGACACATACAAACTAAGACACGTGAACTTGACACTGGGACAGAGGAGAGACATGGAGACATGATGAACTAGGTGAGAGCAAGGAGTAAAATGCACAGGCACAGGCACAAAACACTGAGATGAAACTAGGACGGACTAACAGAATGAAATTAGATGCAGAAAATACAAAAGTAAAGACCAACTAATACTGAACTAGAATATGAAAATCTCTTGAATCCAAAAGAATGAGTCACAACACAAACTCATAATCTGGCTCAAAGACCCAGGACCATGACAGTGATATAAAGACTTGCACAGACATTCATACATGTATGTAACCCTTTAAATATAAGTGTGGACACATAAGGGGCTGAGAAAATAATAAGGACAAGGCCAAAGAACCAGAAATTTCACACGGATGTGTCTCTGCTACACAGCACTTTGGTTGAGGTCTACACTAATCCGGATAAATTTGAGAACGGCGTTTTCGTCTAAAAACGCTGCGCATCCAAACTGAGCCCGTTCTGGTAGTGAGAACGTGTTATCCAAACTATCATTTTTAATCATTTCCGAAGAGTTGTTCATCCACACTGAAACGACTGAAAACGCGTACGTTCCTGTACTGCGCATGTGTGAAACTGCTCCATTTGAACAATTCAATACATGAAAAGTACATTAACAGGCTCGCATATAGTCCGCATATGCCTCAAACACTATTATAAAAACTTTCGTTTTTAGATGTTCTAGATGAGCCCATAAATCCAACTCGGTTGTGCATAAGACAAAAAGCCGACTGTAAAGCTAATTACTGTGCATCCAGTTACTGAAATGGGCAGAAGGAAACCCGAACGAAAGCTGAGAAAGTGAAAGCAGAACTTCTCTAATGTAGCCCAGAGAAGTAGCAGTCCGCTGTTAAGATATCAGCCTCACACCAAGACCAGACTGCCTGTAATGTACCGTAAAATTAACATTTACAGTAAAGACACCATTGTGACAGCAGTAATGCTAAGATTGTAACAACTCAAAGTTACACACCAATCAAACGGCGCCGACCGATTCTTAAACAAAGTGGCCAAAATGAGGTTTCTGCAGTTCCAACCTATAAAAACACCTGTTTACTACCAGGTAAAATAATTAAACGTACGACACAAAATAAACACATACCAGCAAGCGACGGCGAGAAGACTTCAGAGAAAACGATCCGCAGGTGACCTCTACAAAAACACGAGGCACTCCAGTCAACAAAAATATGGCCAATTCAGACAGCTTGGGACACGACTCCTACCTGTGGTAGCTGGGAAGGTCAGGAGTCCGGAAACCCGGATACATAGGGGAACAGGTGAGTGAGTGTCAGGGTTGCTCAGCCACTAGCACCGTATACTGTGACTGGCCACTAATGATTAACAATGTGATATTAAAACATAATATTTACTCTGCTACATAATTGCATTAATTACAATATGATGGGTGCTTGATACCCTGAAATTCACATTGAAGATCTTTCTTGAGAACAAATCAAACTATCATAACAAACCAGGGGCCAATTGAAGTGTTTTCAGAGATCCTCTTTGAGATCAGAATGAGAAACAAATGCAGCTTGGGTAACGATGTAAAAGGATGAATATGGTTTTGTTGTTGTTAAATTCCTGTTAAACTTGGGATCGCAACCATGGGTTTATTTTGAAACTTTTATTTTGAAAATCCGCAGCGGAAGTCTGCTACTGGTAAACGGGCTTTCCCTAAGCTTATCCGTTAGTAGCAATGAAGCGTTTGCTGTGGTAAGTTCTTCCTCAGTCCGCCCTGACTGAACATGAGTTTAAAACATATTTGAAAATCCTCATTGAAGTTAACATGACAGTGCATTAACAGTATGAACTGCCCATACAGTAGCATCTGAGTAGATTTCAGTTTTATGACCTTGTTTTGCAATTAATGGGTTAGACGGGAGGAAAAATGGACACGCTGAGCTAGCGGCTAACAGCTAGAGGGGACTGTCGTGTCTAATAATTTTGAAACTTCTCTTGATAGTTTGGGCGGAATCCTGTTGCTGGAAACCCATGGTTATTTATGTCCCATGTTATTGCAGAGACCCACAAAAAAGGGGAATAAACCACGCCTGAGCTCTACCCATCTCGAGTCCAGAGAGTTTTACTCATACAGCACTGGAGATAGAGACTGAGGGGGGTTACATTGGTGCCGTGAGCCGTCAATCAACTGTTTGGACGGTGGACTCCTCTCAGCAACGTGGGGCCAGTTTCAACGCTGCACATTTGTGATTTATTGTTGTTCTTTCTGACACATCTTTTTTTTTAAGGAGCAAATATAGCATTTTTGTTTTATTCTAGTCGCTGTAATGGACATCACAGAGGAGGGATTGAGTACTCCGAATGTTGTTGGTAGGGGTAGGGGGTTGTTATGTTCCCCTTTGCGTTTGCGTCATGACACTCCTGTTAGTGGGCGTGGTTTTATTAGAGGGAATAATCAGGGGATCCCAGGGTCCCAGTCCAGTGCAGGGATTGTTGTCCCTCCCCCTAGCCCTGTGTCACACACGTCTCAGAACAACAGCTCACCTTCTCCTAACCCAGACACTATTGCCACGGAGATTGTGAGTCAGATGGGGGATGTGATCCAGCTGGTTGGTCAGAGGGTAGCGCAGAGTATCTTAACCCAGCTTAGCCCGTCTGCTAGTACCCCTTTACCTGCACCTACTGCCACATCTTTCCATGCTGTGTCGTCTACATCTGCTGTTGATGCTGCGCCTGTGCAGTTTGTGTCCCACAGGAAGCTTAAGGACCCACCATGCTTCAGAGGGGATGGTTCTGATCTCATTTCTGTGAGAGAGTGGGAGGATCTGATGAGAGCCTTTATAAAGCTGGGGAGTCTGAGACCCGAAGAACAGGCTGAGGAGATTCTTGTTCATTTGAGAGGCAAGGCTAAGGATGTGGTCCAGGTTGGCATTAGAAACAGTGTCGTAGATGTCACACGTGATCCTGAGGCTATTTATGGAATCCTGAGGAGACACTTTGACTCTGCTCAGTGCTCACCTCTTCCACTGGCAGACTTCTACACCACTCTCCCAGAGAAAGGTGAAAGTGTATTTGATTACTGGCTTAGGCTGCACCGTGCTGTTGATCTTGCTGTTGAGCGCCTGAAGGAACGAGGACAGGCATTGGGTAGCCCCAGCACTGAGGTCACCCAAATGTTCATCAAAAACTGTCCCTCTCCTGAGCTTGCCATGATCTTTAGATCAAAGACAATTGATAAATGGACGGCCAACGAGGTCCAGGAAATCCTGTGTGAGTCCCACTCTGGAGGAACGTTGAATTCAAGCAGCACGACAGCCGAGAGAGTTGCAATGAATGCACAGGAGATATCAACAGCATTGCCTGCCCAGCCAACAGAGAAACACATTCAGCCACAGTCGACAGATTCAGCTACTTTGGAGCGGCTCACAGGCATGCTTGAGAAGGTTCTTCTGCAAGGATCCTTTCAGCCTGGTTTGACCACGCGGCCCAATTCCAGACGTTCCAGGATTGAGGGCCTACATGATAAGCCCTGCTCCGTCTGTCATGATATGTCTCACACAGCTTTTATGCACTGCCGAGATCACAAACTCTGTTTTCTGTGCCACTCACCTGACCACGCCAGGCGTGCTTGTCCTAGATCCTCGTCGTCCTCTGTACCTCAACGGTCGGAAAACTAGTTGATCCACATTTGAGGGAGGAAGGTGTGGATCATCTGAGTGACTCTCCCATCTGCGACAGCGATGACCTGGGATCCATGTATGAATCTCTGTGTTCCGCTTCGCCACCTGGTATGACAGTTGTCTTCCAAATGACGCAAAGAATTAAGAAATCTGACAGTTTGTTTTACACAACTGTGGGGACTGTGGGTGGAGTTTCACTGAGAGCCATGATCGACAGTGGCTCTATGTCGTGCTCTATTAGTGAGGCTGCTGCTACGCGGCTTTTACAGTCCTGCCCTGATCTGAAGCTCGAACCAGCTAATGACATTGTAGTTGTTGGTGCTGGGGGTCACCAGTTCCAACCTAAAGCAGTTTGTGATTTGGAAGTGACTATTTATGGTTTCAAGCTGCTCATCCCCACGCTGGTTATTCCAGGCCAAAGTGATGACATGATTATTGGCAGTAACGCTATTAAGTCGTTGATTCATGTGATGAAGAATATGGATGAGTATTGGAGGCTTCTATCTATTTCAGGTGATGTCACCAATGATGACTGTAGACAGTTTTTATCCATGCTTTCCAATGTTGAGCGTTGGCGAGGGGGGGCGGTGCCTGGTAAGATTGGCACAGTGAAGTTGAGACAGCGTGTTACGCTGGAACCCATTCAGGAACACTTTGTGTGGGGTAAATTACCTCCCTCTTCACCTCTATCAGCAGGCTGCACTGTTATTGTTGAGCCTACACAGTCACGGTGTAGACCCAGAGACATCCTGGTTGGCCGTTCCGTCTCATCACTGTGGGGTGACAAATGGGTTCCTCTCAAGCTGATTAACCCCAGCAACAAGCGTGTGACTCTGAGGAAGAACTGTAAAATCGCTGATGTCTACCCTTGTATCGCAGTTGAAGAGCTGTCTCCTCCTGAAAAGATCATGTCTAACAGCCACTCTTTTGAACAGGGTTCGGTGCCCATAAGGTCTGTTGAACAAAGGAAGGAACTCTTGCACAGACTAGGACTACAAGACTTGGACTTAGACAGTTGTGAGGTGTCTGACAGATGGAAAGATCAGCTTCTGCAGCTTGTGGAAAAGTATGAGTCTATCTTTTCTAAGGATAAAATGGACTGTGGAGAAGCTACCGATTTTGTCCACAAAATACACCTTGTGGATGAGAAGCCTTTTCGTTTGCCTTATCGCAGAGTACCGCCGAGTCAGTATGAGAAGCTGAGAACTGCTCTGAATGACATGGAAGAAAGGGACATAATCCGGAAGTCAAACAGTGAGTATGCATCGCCGCTGGTCTTGGTGTGGAAGAAGGATGGCAGCCTGCGCATTTGCACTGATTTCAGATGGCTCAATGCAAAGACTGCTAAAGACGCGCACCCGCTGCCACACCAAGCCGACGCCCTGGCTGCTCTCAGTGGAAATGTTTTCTTTTCAACAATGGATTTGACCTCTGGATTTTACAATGTGCCTCTCTGCGAGCCTCACAAGAAATACACAGCATTCTCCTCACCCTTTGGTCTCCATGAGTACAACCGGATGCCTCAGGGCCTGTCGAACAGTCCGGCGACCTTCATGCGAATGATGATGTCGATCTTTGGTGACGAGAATTTCAGCAGCTTGCTTTGTTACTTGGACGACTTGATGGTGTTTGCGCCTGACGAGGTGACTGCCCTTCAACGTCTTGAGATGGTCTTCTCTCGGTTGAGGAGTCACAACCTTAAGCTGGCCCCTAAGAAATGCCATCTTCTTAAGAGGTCAGTTAAATTTCTTGGACATGTCATTTGTGTGGATGGTGTGAGAACTGATCCAGACAAGGTTAACACCATTACCAACATTAGGGAAGAACAGCTTATGGAGAGCGATGGTGTGACTCCCTCCCTTCTTAGGAATGATCCTTTATTACCAACATTTCATTCCTGATTGTTCTGCAAAGGCCAAGCTGTAATGAGCAGTTACATCCACCAGCAGAGACAGATAGCTCTGATACAGGTCAATAATCTTCAGAACTAGAAATAAAGTCCCTGCTGCTGTAGCCATCGGAAGCATGTAAGAACTTAAAACAAACTATATGGCAGAAACAGCAGCTAATGGAAAGTAGCAGGAGCTACAGAAGCAAGGCAGCAAGGACAGGAAATACCTTAATAGATGGGGGATCCCCTCTTTAGACTACTAGAAGAGGTGAGTAAGAGGAGGATGTTAGTCAAGCTAATGTACATTATCGATAACACCTCTCACCCCTTGCATGAGCCTGTGGAGGCCCTGAGTAGCTCCTTCAGCAGCAGACTGTTACAGCCACGGTGTAGGACGGAGCACTATCATAGGTCCTTCATCCCGACAGCAGCCAGGCTGTACAATATCCGCACACAATAAATACTGTCTAAAGATACACCTGTATTATTTATCATTCCCACTGCACTTTATATACATATAGATAAAAAATCCTGGTGTATATACTAAGCATCTGTACATAGTATTTTGGCTTCAAAGTCTAACCTTTATCCATCCATTTGCTAAGTGTCTGTAGTGTCATGTAATTAAT